CCATCACATACTTACTGCATCTACTTGGCGATTCATCACTATCATCAATACAGACAGGTGAGCTATTACATACCTACAGAATCTAGTTGTTGATCCGTCACTATCATCAATACAGACAGGTGAGCCATTACATACCTACTGAATCTAGTTGTTGATTCGTCACTATCATCAATACGGTCAGGTAAGCCATTACATACTTACTACACCTGCTTAGTGATTCGTCACTGTAGTCACGACAGTCAGGTAATCCATCACATACTTACTGCATCTAGTTCGTGATTCATCACTGCAATCAGGACAGTATTGTAAGCCATCACATACTTACTGCCTCTACTTAGTGGATACTCACTGTCACAAAGACAGTACCCATCACATACTTACTGCATCTACTTGGCGATTCATCACTGCCATCAAGACAGTCAGGTAACCCATCACATACTTCTGCATCTAATTGGCGATTCATCACTGTCATCAAGACAGACAAGTAAGCCATCACATACTTACTGCATTTAGTTGGTAATTCATCACTACCATCAAGACAATCATGTAAGCCATCACATACTTACTGCATTTAGTTGGTGATTCATCACTACTATCAAGACAGTCAGGTAACCCATCACATGTTTGGTGCTCTGGTACACATACCACTCCATCATCACAAACAAACTCTTCTTGGTGACAATCTGACATGGATAAAATGAGTGTAGTATGAGAGAAGTGGTCAATATAATCCATTAGTCCTAAAGTTTTAATATTTATTCGAATCGTTGTAAATATGGGCAAGCCATGAGCTTTGGCATATATAATTATGGTGTGTGTGTGTTGTCAGTATAGGTTACTGCGGATATATCGCTTGCAAATATGTGACCAGGGATGAATATACCCATCAATGATATCGTCTTAACATGACACAAAATATTATGCATATACTAAATAACTATATTAATGTGAAGGACAGTTTAACACTTATGTATTAGTCTGATAATTTAATATGATTCAAATTTGGGTCTGGAATACGATAGGGCTGTATACTTTCATCCATGCTCTTCTTCTACATGCTATTTAAGTTTGCTGCACAAGCATAACTGTAAATCAGTGAGAAATACACAGCTAGTGAAAATCAATACAACAAACCAAACCAAACCCCACTCAAAATTCAGGGTAAGGCCATTGATAAGTTGATTACTACTTAACTGGGCAGTAATGTGAGTAAAAATGGCAGCACAAGGTTAAAACATCAAATCAAGAAAAAACTAAACTAAATCAATTTATAAATTTAGCCAGTGCAATCAAAAGCTTGAATTCAAGCTCTACAATAGCAATGTAAAATATGTCCTTTTCTATGCATCCGAATGCTGTCATGTAACAAAATCCGACATGACCAAAATATCATTATTCCACATTTTTTTCCAAAGGAGAATTTGAAGAATATTCTGGCCAGTGATCTTCTCCAATGATGACATTTATAGACAAACACAATCTAGGACATTGTTATAAGCCGACGACTGATATGGTTGTGTCATGTTCTATGAATGCCACAAGACTCAATCCCTAATACAGCACTTCCCTGGACGCCACAAGGTAAACGGAACTGAGAGAGGCCAAAACAACATGGTGAACAACCATTATCACAGAACCACCTGACCTGGAGAAGAGCAGAGGTGATGGCCAAGGATAGACAGGAATCTGATCGCTGCCATATGTCCCGGTGTGGGATAAAAAGACCAAACATATGCTAATTAAACATATGAATTTGTGATTTTTATTGTATTTTGAAAATAAAATTTGAATGTGACGCACACGGAGCCCACAATCTCGTTCACCTTATTGTTCAGGAATTTACCCTCATTATTCTCACATCCGAACCTCCTGGTCAGCTAGCAGACGTCTGGTTGTCCGTCTGGGTCATATGTGTGGGCTGATAGCATAAAATGTTCAGAATATATTAGTATGTCTCACTGGATACCCACATGACA